GGAATCAGTCCAGATGTCCTTCAGCACGTGAAGGATTAAACAAACAATGGTATATCCATACCAGAGAATATTGCTCAGCCATAAAAAATAACACACTGTTGTTGCATATAACAAATTGGATAAATCAGAAAATCATGATGAGTGCAAAAAGCCAACTCCTAAAGGTTCCATATCTTATAACTATATGTTTGTGTCCCTCCAAAATTCATACATTAACGCCTAAACCCCCATTGTGATGCTGTTTGCAAATGAGTCATTTGGATGGTGTTTAAGGTTAGATGAGGTCATGAGGATGGAACTTCACAATTTGAAATGTCCCTTAACAAGAGAGACCAGAGAGGCATCAGAGCTCTCACAAGGAACTCCACTGGTCAATACATTTATATTGGACGTCTCAGACTTCAGAAGCATGAGAAAATAAATTTCTGTTGTGTAAGTCATCCAACCTATGTATTTTGTTATGATAGCAAGAGCAGACTAAGACATGATTTGCTTCCATTTACATGCATTCTTGAAGTGATGAAATTATGAAAATGGAGAACTGGTTAATGGTTGGCAGGGGTTAGGGAATGGGTGGAAGCAGGATAAAGTGGCTGTGGCTAGAAAAATGGCAACATGAGGAATGGTTGTGGAAACCAAAATATTTTTGTTATCTTCACTCTATCAACATCAGTATTCTGGTTATTGTATTATAGTTTTGCAAAATGCTGATAATGGAGCAAACAGAGTAGAGGGTACATATATTGTGTCTTATGACTACATGTAAATGAGAAAGAGAGAGATTAGTATGTTCTAATTGTGTATTCCCCAAACAAAAAGATGTAGATGAATCAGGGCAAAATTTCCTATTGCAGAGAGTAATTACAGAAGACAGAGTCTGCCTTTTTATACTTACTGAAAAGAGTAGGATTTAGAAGGGATTTGGTATACAGAAAATCCCCTCAAGCAAATAACATTATTTATTTCCAAGATGGATTGCTTTTTAGAATAACCATCAAATATATAAAATGGAGATTTGCCCTCACAAACTGCAAAGGATTTTCTAATTATAGTGATTTTCCCTATGCTGTGCTGCATATAACAACATTTGTTTTATGGCTGTGTTAGCCAAAGTAGCAATGAAAAAAAGTTCCTGTATCATACACAATTTTGTGTCATAGACAAAAATTTGCAAAATATTATTGGCTATTATGATAAACAAACAGGACTTGATATTATACTTCAGAACTGAAAGTAAACAGCAATCTTCCTCTAACAAAATAAGTAACTAACAAACAAAGAAATAATCAGATTGAAATTACATGGTTTCCAATGCAGGTACTATCACTTGTTGTCAAAAGGTAGAAAGAGAGAGAAGTAACTGAACTCTTCACTGTTCTGTTTACCATTTTATCCTTTTACCAAGTAAATTTCCATTAACTCTGGGTGTTATGGGCTGATTTCACAGCAGGAACACCCAGAAACAGACTTTAGAAAGGAAAGAATTGTCTTTTTAAAGTGTAAAGGAATCCATGCATTTATTGATTTTCTTGTCTTTCCCTTCAAATCCTTTGAAATATGATCAAAAAAGTGTCTCCATTTTATATACCACAATTTCCTTTTAATAGCTTTTTCTCCACAACAGAGTCAGAGCTCTGCCTTCTTAACTAAAGAGGAAAAAGCTGTCTCAGAGGAAAAAATAACAACTGAGTTAAGCCAACCCTAAACCACCATTAAACGTGTGAACATTTGAAAGGTCAGGAAAAGGCCATCTAGTGGCTCAACTGTTTCTGCCATAGCTACTCTGCCCAGGAGGGCCTCCCTGGGCCCAGATCTAGATGACATGGCTTACCTTTTTTTTTTTTTTACATTAAATTTTTTTTATTTATTTTTCTTAAATAGTTTATTGTCAAGTTGGTTTACATATAACATCCAGTGCTCATCCCAATCAGCATCACCCACCTACCCCTTTGCCCTTCTTATTTTCTATTTTCCCAGTTCATTTCTTTGCTTACGAGTCCTGATATACCCATGGCATTATATTACTTCCTAGTCCCAGCAGCCAGAAGGAATAATCCTCTGAGGATTCGTGGAATGTTCAGGCTCTTAAAACATGTATGTTTTAACTAGCTTTTGATATTTGACTCCCACTGAGAACACTCTTGCCAGAAGATGTCAACCAACCTAATGGGGAAACTTGCAGATATGGGGAATTTGCTCTCTCAAAAAAGCTTTTTTGAAATTATTTTCAGACAGCCCTGACAGGTAGAAATAGCTTTTTTATATTTAGGTGAAAAAATGTGCCTAATGCTTCTAATTCTAGTCTTTGGGTCTATTCAAGATAAGCTAATCCCTCTCTTATTTGACAGCCTGCATAATACTTAAAGACAGTAAACATATCTACCCAAAATTTTCTCTTTATCATGTCTTGTCCCACTTCATTCGGAAATGGCTTTAAGTTATTTTAAGTTCTTTTTCCATCCTGCTTTTTACCTGTTGGATAAGCAACTATTAGACTATAATCTTTTAAAAAAAAAAAACATATCCTTTGGTAAATATATTACAATGGTTAAGTATGGATTCAAGTCTTGGGTCTGGTACTTACTAACTTCATGACCTTTTTAAGTAGCCCATGCTTTCATTGCCTCAATTTCGTCTGTGAAATACTGACAATGCTGTACATCTCCTAAGGTTTTCATATGCATGAAATGTGCTCATACATGCAAAGAATTTAAACAATGGCTAAGAAATAATGCTCATCAAGTGTTAGCTACTATTATCACTATCTCTGATTTATTCTTAGATGATTTAGTTAAGACCAGACAATCAACCATACTCATTCTTCAATAATCTTTAATGTAGTCTAAGCTCTGATTTGACTTGATACTTAGACATCAGAGTAACACACAAAATCTATAAGAATTCATCAAAGTGAACTAAGAGTAAGCACATACGGCTTGTTGAAGACATTAGTCTTGAATCAGATGTCAAGGAACTAACAGAATTAACTATGGACAGAGCAATACCAGTATCTTTTCAAGTTGAGAGAAACAAACAAAGGGTGTATGCTTCTGAACCAGCAACTAGCAGGCCCAATTGAAGCAGAAAACGCAAAAAGGCCAACAGGGGAATAGAAAGATGATAATTCTAAAACGGTGCATTAAGACCAACTTAATTATAGACCACTCTGGACTCTGTTACAATGACAGTTGCAGGGAGAGTGCTGGTCTATGGTCACTCAGTTTCAGACACAGCTAGAAGCGAGGGAAACTGGATATTGAACTAGTAGTAATGTCTAACACACTGCCTCTAGAATTTTCAGTTTTTACTCCAGGAAACAATCCTTTCTGTGTAAGGTAGTTCAAGTTGAACTTTCTGGTACTTACAACTGAAAAAGGATGAGGGACCACATATCAGAGTTAACAAAAAACATGGGTTTGACACCAAATGGAACTGAATTCAAGTCCTAAGTCTCACTTAAAAGAGATATCATTTAACCTCTCTAGTATTGTCATCTAAAAAAATAAATGGAGAGAGAATTTGACAGGATCATTATTGTTTCCAAATAGAAGATATGGAGTGACATTTTTCTGAGAAGGAGATGAAAATATCCAAATTGTCAGAAGTAGAGAAGGAAATACAGAAAATTTTTTTGGGGGTCACATTTACCTTGACAAATAGCTTGTAACTAACTCTGACATTCTTTCTCATCAAAACTATAGAAATGACTATGTATTGGACCTATTTTGCTATTTATCCCTAAGTGTCCTGAAACACATTTTGGTCTCTGGAGGGAGCTGCTTTTATTGACACAGGTCCTTGTCTTTCGAGCTGTAGCTGATCTCTTTTAAAGTATATTCTCATATTTAATTTCATCTCTTCAGCAAATATTATGTGATCATGAGCATGGTGTTCTTGTAGGTTCTATTCAGTGTAATTGATAGAAGCATGGACACTACCATTCTGATAATTTTGTTTAGGGAAATCTTAACTGAATATTCATTCATTTCTGGTTTAATGGTTGAGGAAACTCTCCTAGAGCTTGGCAATAGCAGCTGTAGTGTAAGTTACTAAATCCCCACCTGAATATGGGTCCTGACTCCCTCCATTACCTAACCACGTGCTCTTAAAGAGCTTTAGGTTGAATTACAGACTAAGCAGAACTCTGGCACAGAGAAGAATTACCCTTAGCAGCAAGACGAAAAGAGAAGAGTCCCACCACAATCTGACTTCTCCCTTCTGCACTGGAGAGAGCTACAGTACATTCACAAATGACTAAAATGTGAAACAAAACAAGAGCTTTTCATCATCACTCCCAGTTCCCAGCAGGGTCCTTGACAGCTTCACTGGGCACTGCAGAATATCATAATGAGTAGGAGGAGAGAAGCCCTGTTAGTGAGATCATCATTCCACAAATCACTGTTATTTATAGATGAGGCAAACCTGTCCTTCATCACCCTGCTAGCTATTTCTCCTAGCTTCACTTCCTCAGACACAGTATCATTAGGATGACATCTTGGCACAGAAAATGCCAATTCTCTAGTGCTGTAATGACATTTCTGGAAGTACTGTCTAAGAAAATGCTCTATGAAATCATGTTTCTGGAGGCCAGGTCAGTGACTACAGAACAAAAGAGGTAAACTCACTACATTTTTATTTTATTACATGAAGAGAAATCATCAAAACTAAGAACCTGAAACTGAAGGTGATAACAACTTTCTATTTCTATTTCCTTGTCAGAAACTAGAGTAAGATGGGAAAGAAACCATAGTATTGCACTTCATCCTCTACCTTGTAAAAAAATTCTGGCTATAAATAAGCAGCAATTATGCAGCATTTGAGGAACACAAAATAATCCCATGATAATACATAACATAGACACACGAATATGGGTATCATACCATAACATAATAATATTTTAAAATGCAATTTTATTTAAAAAAAAGAAAAAGATAATTAAACAGTGAAGATAAAAATGATGAAAATTAAAAGTTCATGGATCTGCTCTTTTTTGTGGCGCCTCGGAGGCGGTAGGCAGCCTCAAGATGAAGCTAAACATCTCTTTCCCAGCTACTGGCTGCCAGAAACTCATTGAAGTGGACGATGAACGCAAGCTTCGTACCTTTTATGAGAAGCGAATGGCTACAGAAGTTGCTGCTGATGCTTTAGGGGAAGAGTGGAAGGGTTATGCGGTCCGAATCAGTGGTGGCAATGACAAACAAGGCTTCCCCATGAAGCAGGGTGTCTTGACCCATGGCCGCGTCCGCCTACTGCTGAGTAAGGGGCATTCCTGCTACCGACCACGGAG